TTCCCCTCCTATTTTTATGGCCTTTCTCTCTATTTTTTCTAACCTCTTTCTCTTATGATTGGCCTCTCTATTTATAGAGAAGGTTTGAGACTTGAACAAACTAGGATTTTGGATCACATGTTATGGCTAGGTTAGATTGTACATGAAGCAAGCTTGAAGAACAGGTTTCCAATGCTTGTACCAAGCTATCTAAAGTGGTTGATAACTTTAAACATGTTTGTTCTTACTTGTAGAAGTTGAGTGTGATTAGAACAACGAGTTAGAGGCTCGAGAAATTGACTTTATGATTAAAGTGAACTTTGCAAGAATGGCAATGGTGCCTTTGTGCCAAAAATGGAAAGATGCAATGAACGATACTTGAACCACTTGGATAATGGTTTAATCAATTGTGTAAATATATGATTATGGATAGATTTGCAAGTCAAGAGGCCTGCAAAGTGAAGATTATGCAGCATGGCTAAGATTTGGTTCCTTGTTCATCACAAATCTGCCTTGTAAATTAAGAATGAATGTCCAACTTCAGATCCTTGAATCTCCTAGCTCAAATATGATAAATTCACGCACTTGAATGTTTTGGAAAACTTGAAACACCCTCTATAACTTTCATGTTGACCACTTTTGTTAAATCAAACTGGAACTTGGTGAAAATTGGCCAAGAAGTTGGGATAAAACCCTGACCAAAACTGCTGAAAATTTCTCTCAGTGTTTATTCAAAAATGCCATGATTTCATGAATTCATAACTTGAAATCCAAGCATTTCTAGGAAAAGTTATGCCCTATAATATTTTAGATCTCATTGAGATCTACAACTTTCATGTTGGAAGTTTCCCTTGAATCATCTTGCATCATGTTAGAAATTTGGCATAAAGTTGTGAAAAAAACATGAATTTTCAAACACTTAGAAAAATTTCCAAGTTTGAAATTTTGACTTTTCAAAGATGAAATTTGAATTTTTTTGGTTTCTTGAATGTCTTGATGAAATTTGATCTTTGGAATGTAATGTTGACCAAAAAGTCAAAATTTGACTTTCCATATGCAATTGACCATTTTGCCCTTGGGCCAATTCCAAGCCTAAATTGATGTATCACTGCTGCAAACTTGGCGTCATAGAAGATCTTATGAGAGAATCTTTGAGAAATGAGAGGGCAAATTTTGGGGTACAACAATCATCAAATGTTCATATACCACCATCCTTCATAGAAATTTTAATTTGTCTCATTCAAGGGAAAACACACGCTTTATTATAACCCAAAATAAAAAAATCCAAAACTATTTAACCTGAATAAGGTGAACCATCCCTAGTGCGATGTCATGTGGTAAGAGCATATAGAGTTAAGAACCCACACTTTTGTGTACTTTCTAGATAAAACAAAAAATATCTCTTTGCATACAATCGTCGTCAATTTCAACAACATCCGAGAACTTGTCGGTTCATGCTTTTTGTTTTGGATAATCACTCCTTAAATGCCGAATCACTATAATATAATAACCATGTCCCCTTATCAACTTTGACCCCATGCCTCATCAAATCGATAATTATGGTGTTAAAGGTATTGCCGTGTTGTTCAAAATCAAATCTTTTCCACAACTTCAAATTATATAGTCGTTGCTTCCTGACCAGTTTATTCATCAACATCTTAAACATATTACCGACTCTCTGATTTATCCCAAATTGGCTTAAGAGATATTAATTTCAAGATATTATACGTCATCTTATATGATACACATATACATATCATTCCTACGATATTCTCATTCAACTATGATCAATCCATATTTATTATGCCTGTCAATACCACCTCACGTAACACCTTGTGTAAATCTTGTTGGGCCAACAAATCCTTAACCATCATTTGTCATAATTTAAAAATTCAAGCTTCGCCGAACCTTGCCATATCGAATTTCGCAGCAGAGTTCATCTTCATTTGATACCAATTTTTAGAATAACAATCAGTAATAAAAGAGAAAATAGAACGCAAATCACAAACAATGTACATAATGCTTTTTAACGCATTTTGCATGTATCTACCCTACGATTATAGGGAAATTGTAATTCTATCTAATTATTTGAACAAATAAGAATTTCAATGTTATAAGTCATATATAATACTATGGTTATTACAAAAATATCTTTGAGCTGTAATGTTGGTCTCTCATCCCTGCACCACATTCACCCTTCAACAAATAGGTGGACATATCACATGTTTAGGTTAAATGCAACTCTCATATATTTAGGGGTAGCAAAATAGACTCGGTCCGTGGAACAGCTTATTTTTTCCACACTTTTTCATAGAGCGAATAAAGTCTTAAACCCTCATTCTCAAATGTGTCCTCGCAATTATTTTTTTGCAGACACACATATTTATCTATTTCTTTTTTCTTTTTTAATTTAAAAGATGCGGTGCAACATGTTCGTCATACTCCACCCTAATTTTATTGCGGAACATATCAATATTTTAGATTCACACTCTCAATTATATTTGTATTGCACTAATTTTTACCGACTTTTACAAAACAGAGTTAACCGGCACAAACATATTCATTTGACATCCTACCTATCCCCGTCTTATTTGACTATGTAGACCATACTCAATTGTTTCTTTATACTGTATTGATTTTTTGTTATAAAGAAGGCGAAGGCCATATAATCCAATGGTTGGAGAGCATGTTTATGAAGCTGATGGATAACACCATGATTTGATATATTTTAAACCAACGTGTAATGAAAATGGAATTTGCTAAAATTAATCAATCATCCAACCCCACCCACTTAAGCCACCATAACACAATTTCCTCCCACATGGCTTCTTTTTATTCACATGTTAGGATAATGAAATAAGAAATGCTAGAACTAGTATATGACAGCATGCCTACTTGGAATTCTCCTTCAAAAGCAAACAATTATTTATTAAATAAAATTTAAAAGGAGTGGGAATTGATGAGCATGAGAGTTTTATTGGTGGCATAAGTCAACCAATGAGAGATCAAATTAAAAGACAATAGAATAAAACACAATCTTATGATTTTTCTAAATTGTCCCAAAAGCAACCAGATTGTAGGCCCAACTAGAACAACTGTCCAACTTTTATTTGTAGAATATACTATAGTTGATGACTTGATTCACCTGAAAAATATTATTTTGTATATAATATAGGCTTTGCCTGCTCTATGAAGATATGCTAAGATCTTATGGAAGACTATTATTAGTATATATGCTTACCTCATTTCCCACTTCTTATATTCCATCATTTATTTTCTTCTACTATTTTTTTTTCTTTTAATTTCATTCTCTATCCATTGTTAGAAAAGCATTTATAAAACATGGTCGTAAATCAACATTTGATTGAAGTGAGTTATAAGAGATTTAGACACCTTAATGGAGAATTTGATAAGCATTTATAAATTATGGACATAAATTAATAATTAATTTCTTATAAATTTTTTTTAATAGATTCTATAGTTTTATCACATTCACATGTTTAACATAAGGTTATACAAAAATATAAGATTAATAGACAATAATTTTTTTTTTTTGAATTGTAAAAACAATTATCTTAAAAGTTATATCCATCCATCAAAGAGACACATAATTGATATATATATATATGAATTTTTAATATCTTTATAAAAACTTCATTGTCTCTAATACTAATAAGTTAAAAATATAAAAAATAAATGATATTAAATCATATTAATTGTCGAAAACCTCTTTTATTATATTTGATCATTATATTTAAAATAATTTTGAAAACGCCTATCACACAATAAAACCTTTAATCTTCAGTCTTACTAATAAAAAAATTTAATCAAATTTACATATTATATTTTCATCATACATCAAAACATTTATTTAGCAAAGTCATCACAATAACTAATATTTGTTTTTATAAATATTGTTATATAAAAACATGGTCAAGAAAAATATATTAAGATTTATTTTCTAATGTGCTTGTGGATGGTGGAATGTTTATTAAAAACTATAATTAGTGCTGAATAATCAAATTTGTACAGATGTTAGCATTATATAAATAACTTCAATTGAATATAACTCTAGTAGATGGGACTTGGCTAATGCTTAGCACCTATTATAGCAATATTAATTTACCAATCTTTAATATAATAATGACAAGCTTAGGTAGAGGACAATACAATAAGCCATAAAGTCATTGGCTAATCACTAAAATAATCTTAGATATGCAAATTTTAGTACAATAGTAGATACGTTATAAAGTTAGTGCATCTTTCCTTCCAGATGATCACATCTTTTTTTTCCTTTGACTTTTTGTAGCTACAGTTAGTTAAATAACTTTAATCATGTCTTAAGCAAGGAATATATCTATTTTTAATAAAAATAGTCAAGTGGAACAATAAATAACATTAAGTGCTTATATACCCTCTAATGAGTTACAGTTTAATTAATTACAATGAATCTCTCTCTGATTGAGATCTTGAGGTGTAATTACAATATATGAATACATATACACCATCCTAAAAAATTCTATGATAAAATATTCAGACATCTTAAATAAGTGATTAAGAGTTTAATTTTTAGATTTTGTACATAAAAAATAGTTTGCGTCTATAAAAAAAATACACTATTTTTTAAAATATAAATAAGAAAAATATTAACGAGATCTTATAAATAAATAAATATGTCAATGTTATAATCTCCGAGATCAAACACATTTACAATTTGAAATATCTATACTACATAAATTATAATATTAATAGTTTTTTTTCCTATAAGAAACATTGCATGTAAGACTGCTTCCATTTTATGGTATTTTTCTTTTAAAGCTTTTATTATAATATATAGTTATTGACCTTAGGTTCCATATGTTGTCTAATGTACCATAAAACTATAGTTTAGTATTTTTTAATATATGATAGTGCATGTTTAAACCTAAGAGTTTACTATAAAAGGAACATATATGCATACCAACTAATCAACCCAATTCAACCTCAAAAAAAATATTTCTTTGATTTATCTAAGAGAGATTATGGAAAAGGAAATGTGTGGTATTTCTGTTGAGAAAAGGCTTAGACTATTTGGTTTTGAGCTAGATCCAATTAAGAATAGTATTGAAGGACCTGTGAAAGAGTGTAATGAAGGAGATGAAAGTGTGAATTCCTCTAATTCATTTTCATCCGGAGAGAAAATTGTGCAAGAAAAAGTTTCATCTAGAGACCAAGATGAGAGAAAATTTGAGTGTCAATATTGTTTTAAAGAATTTGCAAACTCACAAGCATTAGGAGGCCATCAAAATGCACACAAGAAAGAAAGAATGAAGAAAAAAAGATTGCAACTTCAAGCTAGAAAAGCTAGCATAAACTACTATTTACAACCTTTTCAAAAGAATCACCATAGTTTTTCTTCTTACCATGGTTCTTCTGATACTCATTGGTTTTATGACCCTTCTTCTTATAATAGCTCTGAATTCTCTTTGTGTGAAGAGTCTCAAATTAGTTTCAAGTCAAAAAATGTTCATGATGCCAATTCTTGGTATTCTTTCCCTTCTCATCATGTTCCTACCTCTCAACAAGACACTTGCATGTTTACTTTCTCTAATAATGATGTTAGGCCTTTCATTTTGGATCCTTCTTCAAATCAAAGTCATAGTAAAGCTTTAGATCTTCAATTAGGTCTCAATTTGGAGTCAAATTCAACAAGCTCTTTGAAAAGGATGTAGTTTGGTATAAGACATATGGTAGCAATTTCCTTGAATTATTTGAATGCATGAATTATCAAACATCAAGGAAATGGAAGGAAAAAAAAATCACTATTCTTTAGTGTTGGATGGCCCTAACCCCACTAAACCAATTATGGAAAAGTCTGATCAATGATTGTTCAAACAATATTTAGAATTGTTATGATGTATTTATTTTATGGTATATAGCCATTGGCAATTATCTATACATTTCATTCATATTACATTTACAACTTGTATCCTTTATCATTTTATATATTTTTTACAAGAGGCATGCATCTTGATATTCATTTTCTATACCATATTTACACCGTTCACTGTATGTATTAGGGAACAATTTTTTTTTTAATAAAATAATATTATTTTTTCAAAAAAAATATTTATTTTTAAAATTTATTTTATAACACAAATATAAGAATGTGTCATTAATCAACTTTATACTTGTATTAACTATAAAATTATATATCATTAATTAATTATTTTATTTATATTTTATTAACCGCTTTCATTACTTTATTAACTAATAAAATATATATTATTAATCATGTCCTCACACTAAATTATAAATATATTAATCAATTTTTACACTCTATTAATCAACTTTATTTTATTATTTAATATTTTTTTCCGTTTGAGAATTCATTAATCAATTTATAATTATATTAATCAACTTTATATACAATATTAATCGAAGCTTAGTATTTCATTAACCAAAATAACTTTTAAAAAATTAAAATACTATAAAAATATTGTTCACATATTTGTGAACAGTATATACAATAATGTCAAAATTGGCGTCTAAATAATATTTTTGTTTTTACAATTATAATGACTTTGTTATCGCAATTGTTCAAATTCAACTTTTATCGTTTTAATTTAATTAAATCATATAAATCAACCCATATAAAAAAAGATAAATTTAGTTTCTCCATAACATGAGCAGTTATATTTAGTTTCTCTATAATCTTATCTCACTTGATAAATAAGTTTCTCTCATGTGTAATTGCTTTTCTAATAAAAAAAGTTAATCAATGAGTATCTATAAAAACAAAGTTAATCAATGAGTACATAAAAAAAATAACCATGATCAAGCTTTAATTAATCTCTGGTGGATCTTTTCCTATCTCCATTAATTTACAACTCAGATTAGGAGGTGTCATTTTATATTTTTTATTAAATATTGTTTGGAACAATCGTAAAATTAAATAAAATTCAAAAATAACAATATTACAGTAATTAGTATTAAATTTTTTAATTAAAAAAATTAAGGCAAGAATTGCAGTTATAGTAAAATATACTGCATGTAATCATCATGAGATTATTAATACTAATCTCTAATTTTATAAGATATATCTGAAATATAATGCATTTTACTGTTAATTTGACTTTACTGTTTTTGATATGCTCAACAGCATCAATATATTTATATATAATCAAAAGCATAATTTTCTTTTAAGCATTGTGCTTATCCTAATCTAACCTGTATATTGGCTTTCCTTTTTTGCTTACCATATCTTCATTTCTAAATCCTAATATTTTAATGCATCTTCCTCCTTCCCATTCATCATCAATTAACAATTACAAGCAAACTAATATCGCATCAAAGACCATATTATATTAAGCATTATAAACATTTATGTAATTGTTTTTTTATGTTATGTACTTGTTGAAAATTCGGAAGCATTCATGCATATGTTAGTTACATGATAAACCTAACCCTATATAACCTATTACATCCTTATTTTAATTAGTCGGTATTTTAATTAAACACTAAAACACTCTCCTAACACTATCTATATACAAATTATTTTAAAATTATAAATAAAATATATTACACTAACATAGGGTCAAAAAGAAAAATATATCACACGCATATATATTATTATTTTCAAATACAAGAAGACAAAATAGAGCTCTCTTGATGTTTTTTCTTTTCATATTTTTAAATAACCAGCCGCCAGACACATGCCTTGAACGACCGTATTTCTTGATATTTTATTAGCTTAGGATTTATTTATAGTGAATCTTTAAATATAGAGCTTGAAAACTGGAAAAGAAAAAGAAAAGTCAATAATTGACGTCCTTCTAATAGTATTTGAATACATACATAGTGGAATTTTTTTTTGTCATGGAATGTATAATTGAATTAATTTGGTGAAATTTTTTTTTTTGGTATCGTAGGTTAATGTTAAGGTTTATTTTTGTCTCTTAATTTAAAAAAAGGCTTATATTAGAGCATCTCTAATGTTGCAACTCAATTTTGGGTTTTTTGCAGGACCCATTAAGCCACGTCAGCTTAAGCAACCCAATTAATTTTTCATTCCAATTGTGCAACTCTAAAGAACTCATAATGGATTCCACAACTTTACTTTATATATTAATATTTTATTCATATTAAATTTTATATCATTTAAAATAATAATTTTAATTATTTAAATTAAAATTTATATAAAATAAATAAAATTCAAATTAAACTTATAATTTAAAATGATAATTAAAATTAATTTCAAATACATTACATATAATTAAAAACAATAAAAATAAATAACATCACATAAATTAATCAAACTTAAATTTCATCATCTTCATGTCCAAAACGTTCCCAAATATACTCGACTAGATCTCCTTGAAGTTGACGATGAACTTGTTTTTCACGAATATTTACTCTTCTTTGTAGTCTTGTTGCAAGATTCGGATGAGGACCGTTAAATGTTTCAGTTGTTAAGTGATTGTTATCTATATTATCATAAGAGTAATCAAAATTACCTCCATATGTATGTCGTTCATCTTCAACAATCATGTTGTGCAATATGATGCACACATATATGGTATGTTTGAGGGTGTCCATGTGCCAGGCACGCGCTGGACCACGTATAATTGCAAATCGAGATTGAAGCACTCCAAATGCCCTCTCCACATCTTTTCTAGCTGATTCTTGATGTTGAGCAAATAATTTTTTCTTCTCTCCTTGTGGCATTGAAATGGTCTTCACAAATGTAGCCCACTCAGGATATATACCATCGGCTAAATAATACCCCATATTATATGGTGTTCCATTGATTGTATATTGCACATTGGGAGCATGTCCTTCCAAAATATCGTTAAACACGTTGGATTGGTTTAACACATTAATGTCATTGTTTGAACCAACAATACCAAAAAAAGAATGCCAAATCCATAAGTCCTGTGATGCCACTGCTTCAAGCATGATTGTGGGCTTTCCATGATCACCTCGGCAAAATTGTCCTTTCCATGCAACAGGACAATTTTTCCATTCCCAATGCATACAATCAATGGAACCCAACATACCTGGAAAGCCACGTGACTCTCCCATTTGTAAAAGATGTTCAACATCAGTGTTGTTAGGCTTTCTCAAATACTCAGCCCCAAATACAGCATTCACGCCCCGAACGAATCTTTGTAAGCACTCAATTGAAGTGCTTTCACCTATTCGAACATATTCGTCTACAACGTCAGCAGGAGACCCATACGCCAACATACGAATAGCAGATGTACATTTCTGCAATGGTGAAAGACCCATTTTACCAGTTGCATCAACCCTCATTTGGAAATATTCATCATGATTTCCTAGGGCATCTATAATTCGAAGAAATACATGCCTATGCATTCTGAACCTTCTTCGGAATTGAACATCTGTGTATACTAGGTTTTCCGAGAAGTAGTCATTGAATAATCGATTGTGCCCTTCTTCACGACTACGATCTACCATTGTTCTTCTCTTTGGCATAGATGAACTTCCAGATTGACGTTCATTTTCAAGCAATTGTTCTTCATCACTATCGTCGATAAATTCTTCTTCAATCAACTCCCAAAATTCTTGGTCGAAATCATCTGAATTGTCTGAATCCATTTTAGTGAATTAAGAGTGATAGAAAAATGAGAGAAGAATTAGAGAAGTATGATAGATGAATAAGATGAGAATGGGAAAACAATGACATAAGTGATAGTATATATAATGGTTTGAATAACGACTAGTTTGAATAACGGCTAGTTTGAATAACGGATAGTTTGAATAACGGATAGTTTGAATAACAGCTAGTTTGAATAAAGGATAGTTTGAATAAATGATAGTTTGAATAACGGCTAGTTTGAATAAAGGATAGTTTGAATAACGGCTAGTTTGAATAACGGCTAGTTTGAATAACGGCTAGTTTGAATAACATAATATTTATTATAATTTAAAGTGGTACTAATGACCATTTTACATAGGTGTTGATAATTTAAAGTGGTACTAATGACCATTTTACATAAGTGTTGATAAATTAAAGTGGTACTAATGACCATTTTACATAGGTGTTGATAATTTAAAGTGGTACTAATGTCCATTTTACATAAGTGATACTAACTACAATCCATATTTTTTTTCATCTTATTACAATATTTTTCATGAATATCTCGTTGACTATCACTCATAGTAGAAGTGTCTTTCATGATGATTTGCATTGCCTTTAATTCTAGCTCGTCCTCCTTACTTTGAGCTAGTCTTTCCATTGCTGCTGCTCTTTTATTCCTTGCATCTTGTGATGCATTTGGAATTTCCTTTGCCTTATCCTTCCTTTTTGCTGCTTTTTGTCCCATTGGACGCTCCATTGGTGATGATGAGTTAAACTCGTAACTTGAAGGTGTGTCTGAGTTAGCCGATGATGCCCCACTAGCAGAAGTCTTTGTTACTTTTGAAGAATTTCCAATCGATTCTCCCATCCATTTAGGTTCATCTTTTAACAATCGCCATGCGTACTCAAGATTGAATGTTGTACCTTCATCCTGAGCAAAAAAAGCATGTGCAGAGGCCATGATATCGTTATCTGATGTCCCACTTTTCTTTCCATTAACAGCTTGTTTGTAACACCCAACAAATTTTTGAACCAAACCATTTATTCTATGCCATCGGCATTTTAATTGCCCCCCTAACTTTTCCCGCGATTGCCCACGATACTGGTTATAATTGGCAGCTATTCTTA